ACAGACAGCCTCTTCCCAATATGCGTTTTTGCAATTTACATATATGCAAAAACGCATAAAAACGGTTCAAAGAGAGAGATTTGCATAATTTTGTATTATGGTACCTCCCGAGTTTTGCACAAGGCAATGGTCAAGTACAATGCAAAATGATAGTGAAGGAGATATGAAGTTTTCCGCGCCATCCCGAAAGGGTAACAAGCATGGGAGTCGGTGCTCCCTCACTACATTTCGGGATCCAGTATATTTCCAACGCCATTTTTCCCCTAGAAAAGGAAGTGAAACTAATAAAATGCCTTGCTCAACAAATTAACTTTTCAAAATCCCAGGTCCGTAGCTTTTTTCGTTCACATTTATAAAATTCGAACAAAATTTTATATGAAGCCAGTCTTAGGAAAAAGAGAGAGAGATGTAAGTTGAGAGAAGGAAAAAAAGGAGTCGTCAGGAAAGCTGTTACTAGCAATGTTGTTCTGAACTCTTTTGCAAATAAAAATATTGAAGTGGGCACTTACGTCCACTTGTGATAAGCTTTTGGTCTGCACCAGGCTCGTGGCTCACGCTGATCATAACAGTTTACGTGATTTTCGCAAGGCTTTTTCCTGTAAAAGTTACGTTCATAAATTTTGACTTGAAACTGGTGCAGCAGTTATCTGATCATCGAAATCAGACAGATATGCCCTTCACAGTTACTCCACTCCTTAAAAACAATAGGCCAAAAGCCGAACGTTGAGCACCACTTGATGAAGCAAAGTAGCCGAACCAACTAGTGAATCTGAAAGTAGTGGAGATAGATGCCAAAGACATTAGCTGCGTGTTTTCTGCGCATTTTCAGGACAAATTGAACAGATAAAGAAATGTGTGTTTCTAAATGACCGACCTGGCTGAAGTACGAAGTATCGGCGCACAACAAGGCAGCTGGTGCGATCATGCGTTTTGTGCAATTCTGTCCACGGAGCGATTGCCTGCTAATAATTTTCACTGTCGTGGATTTAAATTTGAGGGGTCGCACGTGGGCAAGAAACAGTCTCCCAAAATTTCAGCCTTCTAGATCCTGCGGTTCCCGAGATAGTAATTTACCCGCCAAAATTTTCATTGAGCCATATATCTTATCCGCGGGCACAGGAAGGTTGAATTTAAATTTTCTGCATCGCACATGGCCAGGGGATTTCCTAGTTTCTGTGGTTCCCGAGTTAATTTTCTCCGCCAAAATTATTAGCAGGCAATCGCTCATGCATGTTAACCGCGAGTACGAGGAGGCTGAATTTAAATTTGCGAGGTGACACGTGGGTTGGGAACATTGCTCTAAATTTTCAGCCTCTTAGCTTTTGCAGTTTCCGAGTTGAAAGTTGTGGGCAAGCTGCTGTGGACACACACACACACACACACACACACACACACACACACACAGATAATCCCGTGACAATTTGCGTTTTGTACCGTTGTTACACAACACAAAACGCACAAAAATGAGGCACAGCCGGAATAAGACCATCATTAAATCGCACCTTTATATTTTCGCCGCTGCATGTCCCCTGGCATAAATTTTTAAACCTCATCTGCTGTATTTTTTGCTTCAACCAATGTTAGACTAAGTTTTATGTCCCATGAAGCTAAATTTGGAAACAACTCAATTTGCTTGATTTTTTATTTCATCCTGACGAGCGGATGTTAAGAGGTTGTGAAGAGAACTCTTATGTAAGTCATTAATAAGGGAATTATATTGCATTTCATGAATTACTTCTAATTCAGCAGCGTTTCGGCTCGCTTTATGGCATTCCCCCTGTCCCCCTCCTTTTTTTTTACATATGGGTTTTCTACTTCTAATGAGATTAGCTTGAAATCCTCTATTTCTAGTGGAGTCAGTGAATGCATGACGGCCAGAAAAAAGTCAGACCAAGTAACAATCACTTTGAGAAGCGGAGAAATATATTCCAGTGTTTATGACGCAGTAACTTCGTTCATCAAAAATCTGAAAATAATTGCAAGAATTTACACTCCATCAGTCTGGACGTAGCGCGCTATAGTAGTATGGCCAGTGCTGTCCCCTCTGCTTCCGCCTTGATCCTCATCGGCGGAGGTTTGCTGTGATTTTTCATTGCTTATTGAGATTTCCGAGCTGTCTGCAGCACGTTCAACGCTATCGTCTGCATGACGCCCGCGTACCGGATGATTTTCGGTTCCTGGATGGCCCTGACCTTCTGCATGCAAATGATCTTCATCTCCATTATCGTAGGTGCTCTGAAAAAAAAAAAAAAAAAGACCGCTAATTTCCAATGATCGTATAAATATGACTGTGAAATTCAATTTTTAAAGCAGTCTTGGAAAACGTTGAAAAAAAAAATTCAAAGCAGTGCCAGGCACGCATTAGCAACTGAAAGACGTCAAGGTCCTTATTGTGCTATGGCCGTTTCATTTTATGAGATATGCTATAGCGTCATAACGTTCAGCTCTCAATTTTCCTATCGCTTAGGCTGCTGCAGTAGCTCAATGAATTAGTTTCTGAAAATTAATTTCTCATTTTTAATCTCAGATATGGCCAAAAGGTCAATTTCTTAAAATTTCTGCCTCCTAGCCTTGAATATTTCGGAGTTTAGCTCCCAAACGTGCAATTATTCACATTCAAAACGATCTCCTCTTAGAACTGCAGAAAGTCTGGTACCGCTCGGTTCTGTTCATTGTCCATATTTCACGCATTCTAATCAAATAATTTCGCATTTTATTCACATTTCACATTTTATTCAATCGCCAAGCAAGACACATGTATACTAGCATATATACATGTAAAGCGCCTGGTACTTAACTGAACTCAAAAGATACAAAAGCTCCTCACAGTGTTTAAAATTTGTCAGTGATTTACCAGAATAGTCATACTGAACCAAAAATCAGATATTTGAGGCCGTAAGCGTAGTTAAATTTTTTAAAAAAGCACGTCTTTGGCAAGTTTTTAAGGATCAGCGGCCCCTTAGCAGATTATTTATTCTACTTTCAACGATTCCACCAGTGAAATCAATAAAATTTTGCATTAAGTACAATTTTTTAACAACTGATTATGAAAAGCTCGAACACGCAGGCAATTTTTTAATCACTACCGAAAACTTGTTGGGTGTCCTAGCGATGCAACAAGAATGCGGGAAGAGACGAGTGAGAGAAGGATGAAAGAGCAGGTCAGGAAAAGTTAAGTAGAAAACGCAGATCCTTACAGTTTTCCAGTAAATATTCTTCAAAGAAGCTGAAAAAACCGGTACTGCTGAGGCTTTTATTTTAATAGATTGCTAGTAAATTCTGTTGTTAAATTTTAACTCATTAGGTAAAATAGATTGCAAGTAAAATTCTATTGTTAAATTTCAACTCATTAGGTAAAAAATATTTTCCAGTAACGAAAAGTCCGTTAAAAAAATACATGGTACTTAGCTGTCGCCTATTTAATCCAGTGTTTGAAAGTGACCCGATTGAAGAAGCAGAAATTGTACTGTAGACAACTCTTTCGAAGAAATTCAGAATGTAAACGAAGCGTCGAAACTAAACAAAATTATTGCGATGAATGACAAAATCTTACCTCAAATTGTGCCCGTGTTATACAAGGAGTCACAAGAATGAATAGCACAGTAAGTGTTATACGCAGAATATACATCCTCTGAAACTCAGCAAAAATTGTCTGAGAACAAAAACTTTCGAACTGTAAACCACTGACAAAAACTACGGGTGCTATGTTACAAACTCTGGTTTTAATCGAATTTTAACAGTGCTTATGCAGCTTTCTAGGCATTTTGATTAGCAAAGATTATGCATAAGTTCACTGTTGCAGACACTCATCAAAGTGACCAGTAGAAGCAAAATACAAAAACAAGAGCTGCGAGTCCCGAAAAATAATTTCCCGGGAACCTGCTATCATCCGTATTCTTTATTCAGAATTTGAAAATATAAGATAGTCACCTAATTTTTTTTTATTTCCGAAACAAAATAGCATTCTTTTGATAAAACAAATTTTTACTATTTTTTTTCCATAAATTTCTTACCGTTATCAAAATGCCTAGATTTGTTGTCCTTCGCGCCTCAACAGATCTTATTTTCCTGGGTCTAACATATTACCGATTTCAGAAATTAGCACCTATCTATCGCTAAACTTAATTGTACTGGATGCGCACCTTCCCAACATACGGCAAGGACACTGGCAACTCTCGTTTTAAAGAGGAGCTCAGTTAGTGTTTCTTGGACAGCCACTATGGTAAAGATTGTTGCTTAATTGGTGCCACTAAAAAGTTGAATCTGATTTCGAGAAATGGCTTTCACCTGACCATGTAAAGGTTGAAAAAGGTGCTAGCTCATCAAATCACAGGCATATATCCTTACCTCAGAGAGCTCCGAAGCAACGGGCGAGATTGGACACCGACTGTGGCGTTGTCACATAGAGCGGCACGCGTTGCAGGAAGCGCGGTGAGTCGGATTATCCAGGCGATTACTCGTTGGCGAAATCTTGTTGCACAACGCACATCTTCTACATCGTTTACCACAGAAACTTGCATTTCCTTAATTCTCATCAAATTTATTCCCTTTCAGCATTGTGATTTTGAGCTGGCATGAAGCGGTCCCATTGTACCAAATCACCATTTGCCGGTGTCTGCCAGTGATTCCCCATCTTCCTCATTTTTTTTTTCTCAGTAGCACAATTTCCTGCTACTGTTGTTTAGCGTAAAAACGTATTACGAACTACTTCAGTGACATGAGGAGCATCACTGTCCACATACATACACTCTGAGGATTGTGAACAGGATCGGTTTGCTCTTCAACAACCATCGAACAACAGAATCATTGTCTGGGAAGGCTTGCTATATCACTCGGATTGGATAGTAGTGGATCTGTTTCTCGTGGCGGATGCGCTAAAGGCGAAGGATTTGAGATTCAGCTGAGCTATATTAATCTTAATATGATATTTTTTCTTCTGTGTTTTTTGTGCATTCCCACATGATTTATGAGAAAATGCATTACGATAAGATTATGTGCATTATTTATGTGTGTTGTGTCTGACTGTCCGTCTAATTCGGTAAAATTCATTTCGAGAAATGAAAAATCCAAGAAGCTGAATTTTAGGAACTCACCTGTTTGGAAAAAATTGTTCTGCATTTTCCCTACTTCACCAACACCCGACATTCAGTGGGCTGCGCAATTTTTTGTGCCTTTTTACATCTTACTTAAATGCAAAACAAACGCATAATGTCGAGAAATTGTGGGTGTGTGTGTGTGTGTGTGTCCGGATTTTTGTCAACACATTCAACCCAGCAGCCACAGGAAGTCGGAATTTCATAAGGATATTTCTAGCCCGCGTGCTATCCAGACAGCTTAAAATGAACCTTCACGTAGCCTGAGTCTCACATAGGGAGGCCTAAAGGAAGACATACAAATTTTTTGGTGGGAAAGCGATTTCAAGAACCAGACAAGATAGGGAGCTGTAATCTCACAGAAATGTCCCATGTCTTTGCGTAAGCTAGAAATTTCAAATTCGGCTTTAACGTATGGCTTATGTTTTATGGTACAGCAAGGTTTTGACATGCAGCAGTGAAAGCATCAGCTCTTTCGTCTGAGTAAAACGTAATTAGTTTTTCGGTTTTCAGCCCAAAATTATCAGTGGTGTTCTCGGTGGGTACTTAGGCCGAATTAGCACAACATATTTGCTACATCTGTTTTAAGTAGTTCACTGCACTACTTGTTCATTGAACCGTTGAATGCTGATATTCTTGTGAGTAGCTGATGCAACCACTTTTGTGTTGCTCTGTGACAGCCCTTCAATAAATGCTTTGTTGCTATCGTAATAAGACCATAAATTAAACGAGGCTGAGGAAAAGCTTTCTTCAGTGGCGTCATTGGACGGGCCTAAACTTGCCTTTTGCCAAACGCAAACATTTAAAAGAGTGCCTCTTTTCGTTAACTGATAAGAGGCTGATAGAGGCCTATAAGGGCCTTCAGAATTTTGTCTGTAAGATAAAACACTATATTATTTTTTTGTGTTCTAAGATCAAAGTGAAATACCTAATGGTGCGTTGGCCTAAATTTGCCTTTTACCAACAAAAACATTTCATTGAGTGCCTCTTTTCGCTAACTGATAAGAGGCTGTTAGAGGCCTATAAGGGCCTTCGGAATTTTGTCTGTAAGATAAAACACTATATTAGTGAAATACCTAGTGGTGCGCCGGCAGTTACTAGTTGAGCCACAGAATATGCATAATTACCCAAAAATACAGTATCATGGCCTTCTTGCCAGCCCTTATTTGGGCATGTAATCACAGGTTGAAAGCAGCGATCTTTGAAGGCTAACTTCAATGAACTTCACTCAGACAGTCAACTGGAACAACAGAACTTCAATTTGCCCTGAAAGCACAAAATTGAGCTTTTTGGTTCTGAGATTACACAGTGCAGGAAGGTCTAATAAAAAATGATTAAGATTGTAATCCGAAAAACAACCCCCGCAGTTTCATTTATTAACCTGGGTTTAGGTTTGGGGTCATAGGCACAGTGCACCGAGGGATTTGTGTTAATTTTTGGTTTGTGGCCACGAATACGATCGGAGACTAAGCTCCGATAAATTTAAGCTTCCAAGTATTTCTTGTTTATCAGTGAGGTACAGCGGAATAGGTTTCCAAGAGTATGTGATTCGCATGCACCGGTCACTTCAGCCTGTACCTTTGCTCCGGCTACTGCACTTCGGTGACAAAAGTGTAGGCCCGGACTGCACCGCCACTTGCAACGGTCCCTGAATTCACGGACGTCACCTGGCGAAGGGAGAGGGAGAGTGTGTGTGTGTGTGTGTGTGTGTGTGTGTGGCTCATTCTCACATTGCATCATTTTTCGTCATCAGTCATCTGGATCACAAACAGTGAGTGCGTTGGCGGTATGTGTCAACAAATTGGTGCTGCTGGCGATCCGTCATTGCTCCCGGGATGCCGGTGTCCTTCGTTAACGATGCTTTCTCTCTCTCTGTACCTGCCTGCTTCTCCGTTTCGGACGAGGAATTAGATGCGATCCTGCTGGCACTCTTTCCCGCCGCCAACGGCCACGTGGATGGAAGGGAAACTCGTCTCCCTCGTCACTGGCCAGTCAGCGGCAGCTGCTGCTACTGCTCAGTCTGATGAAATTTTTCGTCGAAGTGATGACGGAGGAACGAGAACGATCGCTCTCTTCCGGTTCGCTTGTTTTGGCCGACTGCCCTCCGCGTACCCGGATGGATGACTAATGCAGCACTGCCTTCGTTTCCCAGGTTCCCGAAAATTTTGTTTCGTAATTTAAGAAGTGGCAGTTGCCTGAAATTATTGTGGACATGGTCAGCTGACTCACCACCGACCCAGTAGTGATCAACGACGAGGACAGTTTACTGATCGGGGGGACAGTTCCAGTGGCTGGCCGCAGTACAGTTATCAGTAACCCATTGACGAAGCAATTATTCATGATGCAATGCTCTTCTTTTTTTGACTTTCCTCACAGTCCAGAAATCAGATCCCATCAGTTCAGCGAAGACACAACTCAATACCAGTTACCAACTGCTGACCACAGACAGTGCTCACTGAGCTAGGCTGACTTGCATCAGCTTGCTAATATAACACGACACGATAATACTAGCTAATCTTACCCTAAAGAGATATCAGAACTGCTCTGCCTTCACATCACTAACAACAAATGATAACAGCAAAACCTACAACACAGTTATATCACTCACAAAATGCGACTGTGGAACTCATGGAATACAATTTTAAAACTCAGAGAGTACGACGATTAATATCACTCAAACAGTACACTTAATATAACTCATAAAGTACGATTTTACCAACAAAAAGGAGTATTCGATTATGCCAACGCATAGAGTGTGATATCACTCACAAAGTACAATTATTATCAATCGCAGAGAACGATTGTAACAGAAATTTAAATTATATCATTCACACAGTACTGTCCAATCATATTCCTCTAGTGCTCAATTACCGCACTTTCAATAAAACACTTCCTTGGTTTTTGACACTTTTCTTTGGCAAACTTGATTCATTTCGCAAATTTTAGCGGCCATTAATTACACAAAATCTTTTTTTTAGCCAATCTTTGAGCCTGAGTTTTTTTATTTCGAGCTGACATACACGTGACTTCTGTGAGAGCACGATTACTAAAAAAAAACTCGCTCATTTTAGGAAACAAGGTAGGCCAGTTTTATCCGCAGCTGCCGTCTAACTTCCAGGATTCGCAAAAAAAAAAAGATACTGCAAGCAAATAGTGATTCTATTTTGTTTGTTACGCTTGTTGTAATCAATTAATTCATTTATCAAGAAGCTGAATTCTATGCACATAAAGAAAACACAACAGCAAACTACAGACAGTTTGGTTTACATCTATTATCAATGAGTTTCATTAATCGCACTAGCAGTCGAAAGCCAAATCAAGTCATCTCTGCTGCATTTGTTTTTACTTCGCAAGCTGGATGCGCGCGAAAAGTTGGCAGAATTACACTGTTACATTGGAACGCTACTCTTTCTCGTTCCAGTAGCTACGCACACGGATGTTGGAAAGACTTATTGCATATGCGGTAATGCACAACGCAGTAGCTGACCTAACACAGAAACCCAAATTTGGAGTTTGGTTCTCCGTCAGAGTATTTCTCACACATTTGGATTTTAGGCTTAGGATTTCATCAAAGTTCACGTCAATATCATAGCACTGTTGCCATTGAAATGATTTGGAGAATTCAGCGGAGAAAATCCCGGTCGCCGGCTAATTGTTGTACGGAATTTGTAGCGACTTCGTAAAGTCAAAAGACCAAAATTGCCGAAAGAAAAGGACTGATCTTCAGTTAACCTGTTGTAGAATACCAACTTTGTTAGCTTGCGCTTGAAATGAGCTCCAGAATATTTGTTCGGATGCAAGAGGACTGTTACGCCACGGCAATACGATTATGTCAAATTTCACGTGTTCATGCATAAGGGATAGGGGAATGTGAATGTTGTTTTTGTGGGCGTTTACTCAAACGCGGTCATTGGCTATGTTCAGAAATTTTCAGCGTTTTAGTTGCTTTAGTTGCAGAGTTACAAAATTGTCTGCTTCAGATTTCACACATACCTCTACGTGAGATGTTGTAAGACGCGAAAAAGAATTTAAATTCAGCCTTCACGCACCTTATAGGCCTCATGCATGTGCAAGTGAAAGTTCACATCTTTTTGGCACCATGCCAACATGAGAATTAGAACACTTTCAGTTAGTCTGAATCCTTTAGCGAGGAAACTTCGTCACGTTAAACAGCAAAAGTCGTCAAATCGATAGGCTTGCTGCAAGATGTCTCCCTCTTTTCTGCTTTCAGAAAGCCAAAATCGTCATGACAGAATTGCCGAGGGAAGTAAAATTTGGTTTGATCAGACATTAAATTAGCGGAAGGCTGCCCAAAACACTTGGACCCACAGATCAGCATTGTCACCATCCTTATTAAACTAGTGTAAAATACGCTTGATTATGGGGGTTGGTCACGAAAAAAAAGGAACAAACTTAGTCGAAATACCAAGGCGTCTTTTCAGTAGTAAGTAATAAAACTGAAGTTCATCTCATTCTGTGGCATCCTCGGTGCGTCATTGTGCGCCGAATATTTATTTCAGTCTGGATAGGCTAGACAGCGCAGAAAAACAATGATGTAACGGTTTGAACGGAAATTCAAAATCAGCTGCGAACACCAAATGTGACTGTTTTAGCTTACCTTTTGACAAATCTTGTGTAAAAACGAATAAAAAAATGCATTACCGGCGAGAATCCAGAATGTACTTGTGTGCATGACTG